CATAGTGAAAATCTGGTATTTTGAGATTTTCTCACCAATGATTTGAACTATGATTGATCCAAGGACACCATTAGATAGAGCTCGTCGAGTTGTACTTGGAACCCAGCTGGAACACTTGGAACACGTTCCTGGACGAATATGGGCAGGTTTTAGTGACTATATATGTAGTGAAAATCTGGTATTTCGAGATTTTCTCACCAATGATTTGGATTACGATTGATCCAAGGTTACCATTAGATAGAGCTCGTCGAATTGTACTTGGAACCCGGCTGGAACACTTGGAACACGCTCCTGAGCGAATATGGGCAGGTTTTACTAACCATATATATACTGAAAATCTGGTATTTTGAGATTTTCTCACCAATGATTTGGATTACGATTCATCGAAGGTTACCATTAGATAGAGCTCGTCGAGTTGTACTTGGAACTCGGCTGGAATACTTGGAACACGCTCCTGGACGAATATGGACAGGTTTTAGTAACCATATACATAGTGAATTTCGGTATTTTGGGATTTTCTCACCAATGGTTTGGATTACGATTCATCGAAGGTTACCATTAGATAGAGCTCGTCGAGTTGTACTTGGAACTCGGCTGGAATACTTGGAACACGCTCCTGGACGAATATGAACAGGTTTTAGTAACCATATACATAGTGAATTCCAGTATTTTGGGATTTTCTCACCAATGGTTTGGATTACGATTGATCCAAGGATATCAGTAGATAGAGCTCGTCGAGTTGTACTTGGAACCCGGCTGGAATACTTGGAACACGTTCCTGGACGAATATGGGCAGGTTTTAGTAAGTAAGTTTGGTTTTTCCTATAGAAAAAGAGCAGTATTTTGGATTTTTCTCACGATTGGTTTGGGCTATGGAAAATCCAAAGTTACCATTAGATAGAGCTCGTCGAGTTGTACTTGGAACTCGGCTGGAACACTTGGAACACGTTCCTGAACGAATATGGACAGGTTTTACTAACCATATACATAGTGAAAATCTGGTATTTTGAGATTTTCCTACCAATGGTTTGGATTACGATTGATCCAAGGACACCGTTAGATAGAGCTCGTCGAGTTGTACTTGGAACCCGGCTGGAACACTTGAAACACGTTCCTGGACGAATATGGGCAGGTTTTAGTAAGTAAGTTTGGTGTTTCCTATAGAAAAAGAGCAGTATTTTGGATTTTTCTCACGATTGGTTTGGGCTATGGAAAATCCAAAGTTACCATTAGATAGAGCTCGTCGAGTTCTACTTGGAACACTGATTGGAACGCTTGGAACACTTTCCTGAACGAATATGGGAAGGATTTACTCGAATATGGTGCTAACTTCACCTACGTAAAAAACCACCATCGAAACTCTACGTGGTGCGCCGCTATTTGATCAGAGATTCGTTCTGCACAATTGTAAGCAACCAATTAAGTGTATAGTTAGCGCCAAAATTCAAATGATAATATAGATAGTATGAGAGGCAGATTACATAATGTATTATACGAGACAACTCTGTCTATCGATATAGATTTATTATAGTTGAAATAATTTTTTCCATCCATAAATAGATTTAAGTGGATGGATGTAGCTGTTGCTGCTGATGAGGAAACATATTCAACTATCAAATCACTTTTGGACCAAGCATGTACACAAACGATAGATCTTAGTGAGTTTTTAAATGTCCTAGAACGGTTTGATTTTCCAGCCTTCTGTTATCGAGTTATGGGCCTTTTACTTTATTTTGGCTTATGGACATAAGATTCTTCTGAGCACTTGAATAATCGAATTTCAAACTGAAATTTTGCCCACGGATAGGCCCTATAAGCACTAGAAACACTTCAAAGTTTGAGCTATAATGAGTGTATCCTTATCGAGATATTCACATTTTAAAGAAACATCTGTTTTGAGATGTGTTTCAAAATAGAGACATTTTCATGACGAGCTGATATCTCAATAAGGATGCGTTCATTCTGGCTCAAACTTTTGGGAGTTTCTAGTGCTTATAAGGGCCTATCTACGGGCAAAGTTTCACTTTGAAATTCGATCATTCAAGTACTCAAAAGAATCTTATACCCATAACTCGACAATAGAAGGCTGGAAAATCAAACCATTCTAGGGCATTCAATAACTCACTGAGATCTATCGTTTGCGCACATGTCCGATCCAAAAGTGATTAGACAGTTGAATATGTTCCCTTGTAAATAAACAACTGAAACTAGAATGATGTATTAATGCAGTATTCTAAAATTAAAATATATTCATAAAATTAGAAACATCAATTAGCCTTGTTTGATCCACAAATATTCCAAATCAGATCAGACCAAAAAAAGTGACCCGTTGGCAGCTCTGATTCGAAACAAAACTTTAAAGAGCATCCAATAAAATCATAAAAGTTTCATATCAATCACTTGAACTACAAAAAAGATATGATTGAGTTATAACTCGCAGGAAATAAAATTTGTTGATAGATTTAAATATCTGGGAGTATATATCTCAGTTAAATTAGGTTGGGATAAATACATCAACGAAAGAATAAAGACCATCACCAAAGTATATAACGCAATGAAGATAATCTTTAGAACTATTAATAAGAAAGAAATAAAAATTCGCAAGAAAATTTTTTATGCTTACGCACTTCCGCATTTCATATGGCTCTTTACAACCTGGTTCTTCTTTACGGAGAAACAGAAAAAGAGGATCGAACATAAATTCTGTACCGGACTGAGAATCGTTCATGGAATGTATCACTGGGATGATCTTACAACATTAGTTATAACGAGAGAGAAATCTATATATGATTTTCTTTTTGTATATTGGAGAAAATTAGTGCGTCACCTGATGTCATCACCTGAAGCTCTTGCATTTCAACAGAGTTTGAATGCTTATCTGTTATTAACGGATGTTAATAAATGCTGGACGAGGGAACTGGGGTTTAGAATGAACAGTAGATTTTATAATAGATTAGTTAGGCAAGCGAAGAACTGTCTCATGGATTGGGCTGCATTTGATTGTGTCCATATCAAACAATATGTCTGCTTTAGAGCCTCCACAAACGCATTGAATACATTTGTGTTTAAATATTTTTTATCATTCCCCCCTGAGATTTGATTTGTCTGTTTTTTCTTTTTCTCTACATGTGGCCGGTAATGTTTTCTCTTTGCATTGTTATCTCTCTCTTCTTTTACTTTTCATGTTCTTTTTTCGCTTCTCTCTCGTCTTTATATTACTCGTGTTACTCGTCTTCTTTTAAACATATTGTGAACCAAAACATTTATATGGCACAATAAATATATATGTTAAAAAAAAAAGAAAACTACAAAAAAGATATCATTCTCATATATGATAACGTTGATTGACGAAAGAATCATTCATTAAGAATACTAATCAATCGATCTATATTTGGTTTTTTAAAATTTACAAACATTCTTCAATATCTTTAGTAAGTTTATAGAACAAAATAGAATCCTTGAAGGTATAGATGAATTATATTAATTAAAGCAGTTCTTTTTTTTTTCTACGCGTGAATATTTCAATTCAATGATATTATTCTAGACAAAGTTAATAATTCGATTTAAATTCTATTATTTGACATGATAAAATTAGATTTCCTCTTATATGTTAATATTTATGAGAAGAATAAATAAGATAGCTTTATTTTAATTCTTATTGTAATTGATATTTGATCATGTCTTCATTTCGGACATGTAAAATAGAGTAGTAGATACTGTTTGTTTATTCTTATTTTATTTGTTCAATCATTCTTTTATACATTTTCTATTTATGTTTATTTTATTGTAATCAATCATCAAATCATTTCTGATGTAATTAAAAATGAATCAGCTGATGAAAACCTTCTGTAACTTTTTATTAAAAATATATTTGAATTAACAGATTTTCTTAATTTAATAGATTATCATTCAGTAATTCTTATCGATATTATTTTTAAAAAAAACATTCATTGTAAAAATAATAACATGTTTATAAATATTCAAGAAGATGATAAAGTTATTAAAGTAAACTTTGGAATTTCTCAATCAAAAAAAAAAGAAGATATATGAATATTTCTCAAGAATTATGACCAATGTATGAATTCTCAGTACATGAAAATTTGACTGTCAAATGATTTAATATTCAAACTTCCATACATAATTTCTTTGAGAAAAATTAAATCCAAGAAAACAATTATTAATTGACCTTGTGCTACGCATGTAAATTCTTTCAACTTGATAGATACTTAAACAAACAAGATGGCATTCGAGTTTCATTCGACTGTAAAATGTCATGCGAAGCTACGATTGTTGATTATCAAAAAAAAAAAAATCAAACAATAGGTTGTTTTTTTCCTCACAATAGTAACGTTTTACTAGAATCGAACCTTTTTTTTTTGTCTCGCAATAAATCGAAAAATTTAGCTTTCGATCAATCAGTTTGTTCAAAGTCTAAAGAAACTAATCAAATAGCCATTAGACAATTGATTACAAAGAGAATTCTCTTAACGATTATCAATATATCTATCATTAGCTGTATTCTCACAGCTGTCTTAGCTATAAGCAAAGCGAATGGCAGTTAACCTTTGTCATTGTTTTAATTATCTAGAAATTTGACAAAAAAATTTTTCTCTTTTTTTTGTATGTTATTTGTAAGTAAATAGAACATTTTCGGGAAGATTTTGTCTGATCATAAAATCTGAATTTTACATGCAGAGTTCAAGAACGAAAAAATAAAAATAAAAATTCTCTGTTTTCTTTTTATTTTAAATCAAACAAGAAAAGAAAAAAAAAAGAACAAAATTTTGGCTCTTACTTAAAAAGAACATAGCGTTTCCCTAATATGATGTAAAACAAAGAAAAAAAAGTGATGAACATTTACAAAAAAAAAAAAAAAAAAAGTGGCACAGCAACAAGTTAAAACATCACATCGGCAAGAGAAAAAAAACAGGACTTTTTTTTGAAATGAATGAATGAATGTAAGATTGGCAAGATGAAAAACGAAAATAAAGCTTGTTTTATCATTGATTTGTATCATCATTATTTGATGATTGATTGACTACTTCACTTATTGTTGTTTTACTTTGAGAGTTATCATCAATTGGCTTTGATTCTATTCAAAAAAAAAACAAAAGTCGAAAAAAAATTCTTATAAAATATTACCTTCAGTTTTTTCCTGTTCACTGTTCTGTTGAGGTTGATTCTCTTTATTAGTGTCTGCACGTTGTCGAAAACGACCACGACCACGACCACGACCGCGACCACGTCCGCCACGACCACGACCTATTCAATAAACAAAAAAAAAATTTTTCTTTTTACTCATAAAAAAACTAAACTCACCACGACCACTAAATCCTCGACCATAATAACCATAATACATTCCATAATAATATGGTGTCATACCATATGGATCATAATAACCTAAACATACAACAAAAAAAAAAAACTAAAACTTCAATATTTTATTAAATTTTTCTTATACCTTGTTCCATGAAATAACCATTTCCTGGTCGATAAGCACTACTACGTCGACGACGTTGAGTATTATTTGTTTGTGATTTTTCAACATCAGTATTATTATTATTAGTATTATTATTATTATCAATTAGTTCTTTTGTATTTGCACGGCTTTGTCGTCGATATCTTGGTGCTAAACGACGAACAACTTTATTAACCATATAACGTAGAAGATTTTTCACTATTGTTTCATCATCTTTAGGTTTTTTTGTTTGTCCAGATTTTTCTGTTTCAACTTCATTTTGACTTGCATTTGTACTACGACGACGTTGTTGTCTTATAAATGCAAAATAAAAATAAAAATAATAAATAAAATAAAACTTTTTACTGTCGATTAGATCTCCTTCGTTGTTGACGTGTTGAACCTTGATTATTTTCATCTTGATGTTGATCATCTGTTACAACACTAAATATTTTCAAAAAAGAAAAAAAAAACATCATGAATTCTTTCAATTTACCTATCAGTTTGTTGTTCTGTACCATTTTCATTAGTTTGTCGTTGTTGTTTACGTTGAAAACGGTTTGAATTACGACGTTTAGGCACGTTAGTATTGTCTCCTTGTTGTTGATCATTATTATTATTATTATTATTATCGGTACTAAAAAGAAAAGATTAATTTTACAAAAAAAAAAAAAAAAAAAAAATTTATTTTAAAAACAAACTTTTCATTCTTTGATATTTGACTTCTTCGTCTACCACGTCCGCGACCACCACGAAAACCCCGATTACCACGTATTGGATAATCAATAAAACCATCTTGTCCTGATAGATCACCACCATAACCATGATATAATGGACCATAATATCCACTTGCAGGGATAAAAGCTCCTTTTAAAAAAAAGATGAAAACATGAAGTTCTTTCATCTGTAAAATTATTCCTACCTCCGCGTCCAGTCATATAATTTGTATAAGGTGTATAAGCTCGACGAAAATCACCATAGAATGGTAGACTACGCCCAAAACGTCCTCGACCTAGAACAAAAAAAAAAAAGAAAAAAAAGTAGATTAGAATATAAATCTTAGAAATTTCATTTAAGATTTTCAATTATTCATACTTGAAATTTTCATCTTATGAACATTAGAGTAAGAATGATAAGATAAAAAAAACAAAAAAAACTTACCACGAAAACGTCGATAACCTCCTCGTTGACCACCACGACCTATTAAAAATAACATATAGAATATTTATTTTTGAATAAAACTCATATCAAAAATACCTCGTATATTATTCATATGATTATCATTATCATCGGAATTATTCGATTGTTGAGCACCATCATCATCATCATCATTTGGACCATGATTTTCATCTTCTCCTAGATCTTGATTTTGTCGTTCACTACCTATGACATTAAAAAAGTAAAAACAAAAGAAAAAAAAAATTTTTTAAAACATAACAACAAAAAAACAAAAAAATAAAACTCTCAAACCAGGTCGCTTTCGATAGAAATTTCTCGAACGTTGTTTTGATGATTGTTGTATCCCTTGAACATCATCGTCCAATTGGACATCATTATTTTGTTGATTAGACATAAATAAAAATCTATGAAAGAAAATATGTCTAATCAAATAAACATGTAATTTGGCGCGGATATAATATGTATATATATATATGGATGATGTATAAAGAAAAAGTATACAATATACGCATGAAAATAAATAGAAAATGTGCAATTATTGCCTACATTTGTATATTCTATAATGAAACGTGTATGCACAACGAGCCGTTCTATTTTCTTTGCTCTCGCTTTTATATGCATCCTCTCATAGAAAACGTGGATCAACTAGTAGAATGCTGCTATTCTCCTTCCTAAACGATATGTTTGGACGAAGAAAGAGAAGAAAAAAAAGAAAAATGAATGACTGGGCTCTTCTATTCTAGTCGTCGTTGTCTGCCATTTTAAACGATAACTTTTTGTTAAGAAAAAAAAAAATAAAACAAAAAGATATGTGTTTTATACTCAGCAAATAAAGCAATCAAAAAAAAACAGCAAGGTTTTAAAATGATATTAAACTTTGATTTATTAAGATCATAATCAAAAGTTTTTTGTATTAAACATCTAAAAAGTATTTAGAGAAAAAAAAAAGAAACCATTTAACTTCATTAAAACATTCAAAAAATATTATTAATTATTTACAAATCAATTATAATTCATTTAACTTTTTGTTTTTTTTTTCGATCAATAACATTCTATAAATAATTATAATTCAATTGCATCAATCGTATCAAAAGATATTCAAATAGACCTACAAAAACTCTGAATATCTCACGGAAAAAACTTTAGTTGGAAAGAAAATTTTATGAATAGATTATATAATACTACTATTAAAGTTTATCCTAAATCTGATAAGCTTTATGATTTTATTGTAAGTAGATTATAATTTTCAAAACTAATAGTCGTTTGAAAGATAAAACTATCAAATTGATAATCATTATAAATTTAAAAAAACTATAGAATATACATTTAAAATCTCAATCTAATATATAAACTTGAATTCATCTATACACAACTAATACGCTTCATACAGTAATCAGGGTCAAAGTGTTATCTAACTGCAATTGTATTATAAGTTGCTATAATAATCTATCTATATTGATATATAGGTTATTTATGTATTCAAATAAATATCTTTTACTCGATGATATATAAATATCCATTAATAATTGTTTATGATTTCATCATATTAGACAAAAAAAGAAAGATTTTTACTTATAATATTATTTGTTTATGATTATATATAATTTCTATTGAAAAGAAAACATATAAATTTGTTTAATCTATAAATATAGATTTCTAGAAAATATTGAAAAATTTTGTAATAAAAATTCCTTTTTTTTTTTTTTTTTGTAAATATTCATAAAATTCTCTTTTTATTTCATTGATTGAATTTCTTAACCAATGAAAATAATTTCGATGTGTCATCATTATTGAATAGAACGAAATAAGCAATGTATTACTCATCTCAGTCAATAAAAATACTATATTTAAATTACCTGTAAGAAAATATTACACTGGCAGCCATATCAAATTTTATATTTTCTTTACCAAATTCACTTTTTCCTCAACCACAACAACAACAACAACAACAAAATTCTAGTGATACTCTAAATATTGACGAAAATAATATGTCATCATCAATGAATGATACTAATTTACCTATAACTGGAATATGTTTAATTTCAAAACCTGGTAATGTACCAACTGGTTATCAATGTATTCGAAAAGGTAAAAACAACAATAGTTCAATGAATGAATGAATGAAGTATCTAATATGTATATTTCCATTTTGATTTATTCCAATTGATTATATTGACATAAGAAAACTCTGCAAGAATTTAGACCTATGACCTTCTGGCAAAGTGTTATGACCGTTTTACTGAGAACTAAGCATTTCGAAAAAAATTAAAATGACGAGTTTGGCTCTGAAATTTTCCTTATAAATAGATTTGATAGTCATTAGAAATAATCCTAAAAACTTTAAAGAAAATAAACATATCTTTCTCGACGTATGCAATATCCAGATAGATTTGATTGGTATGTCCTTCTATGATAATCGAATATCTTGAGAAAGATTTGTTGGAAGTACCGGATGATTATTAAAATTTATTTATAGGTAAGAATTCAAGACAAAACTCTTCGCTAGTGGATCATGGACTTGAACTTTTTAAGGCGGCTTTTTCTTATCTTAATATAATCTATTGAATGAATTAAAATGAAATTGAATATCTCGAATTTTACCTTCGCAAGATAATAATTAATCTTATTAGAACATTTAAATGAGAGATTTTTCTACGATATTTTCTCATTTAAAAATTATAAATTATTTTCTTACGTTTTCGAATATGAGAAAAAACTTTGATTTATTAATTAATATTTAATAAAATAATAACATTTCAATAGATATGCATGGTAGCAAGTTTTTCTTTTGTGTTAATTTCAGAAATTGAGATCAGCAATCGATTTTATATCGGATATACTTCTAGTTGAACATATTAGAACAATATTTCTATAATGCATTAAAGAAAAATAAAAGATTTGACATTTGTAGTTCTCAACTTTATAAAAAATCACATGATATATATATTTATTTTCTAGTTTTTGATGATCAATTACGTGATGCTGATTTAATGGCTGATTCATTACTTGAACGTAAAGATCGTTTTGTTTGTATTACACGTATATTTCCATTAGCTGGTAATAAAACATTAGTTTTAGAAGATGTTAAACTTATTAATGAACGTGAATCACCACCACCAGGTTATTATGGATTACTAGAAACAATCGATACACGAGCTAAAGGTACAGCTAAACGTACAATTTGTGTTAAACTAGCTGATCGACAAGCTGGTATGAAATGTATATGTGATATTATATTTCTTTATCACTCAAAACGACCACCAGCATTTTATACTTTAATTGGTGATATCAATGGTTTACAAATGTGTGTTAAAGAAGGTACTGTACCACCTTTTCGAGCACCATCATCATCACAAGCATCATCACATTTGTATCCAAATCCAATGAATGATCAATCATATTATGGACCTCAACAATCCTATAATACATCAGAATATTCATCTACACATACAATTCCAAAAAAAAGTGATGAAAAAGATATACTTGAAGGTATTCCATTTTCAATTAATCCAAAATATTTAAATGGAAATCGTAATGGTGCTAATAATTTATCGGGCTTAGATTCATTTCGTATTCTTTCACCTTATGAAATTGAACAATATTTTAATTATGATTTTAATCTTGAACGATCTTTCATGTCATAATTAACAAATGTTTAAATATATTTGATAAACACTATGCATATTGGGGTATATGTTTTTTATCGCACGTTTTTTTTTTTGTTTATCTGTTTCTGATTGCACATATTATCTTCTTATGCATGAGAAAAAAATGCATTGATATTTGTTCTTTAAATGAAAATTACATAAATTTTTTGAAGATTAAACAAATTTTACTAAAGATATTAAAATTCAAATCATAGCAACACAAGAAAAAAAAATCATTTTCAATTAACGGAAATAATTCTTTTTTTTTGTTTGCATTGAAAATTAAAAGTATAAAATCTTTTGTTTTCTAATGTTTTAAGTAGAAGGTAAGTATTTTTATGAAAGAAAATCTTTTCTCAATATAAACATCTAGCTATTATAGAAAAAAAAAACTCAAGGAATCGAACACATTTTTTTATTCAATTATTTTTCATTGCAGATGTTTTTCTTGGTCTGACATGAATAAAAATTTGTTTTGTTACTATAAATCATCAATTTTTGTGAAGCACAACCTAAAAGTGTTGAAGTATAGGAGTAAAAATTTCCATACCTCACAGACCGTATATCAATAATGTTTCATTCTAATATATATGAACTACTTTTTTATTGCAATTCTGGAGGATTAAGTAAAAGAATATTGAAGAAATATTTTCTAAAATAGATAAAATAAATTCCCCTATGATTAACGAAAGCAACTACAATCGTATATTATATTTTAATCTCATAGGTATTGTACTAACAAATTTTTTAATAAGATTATTTTCCATCATCGAAAACATTGAACTCTAGTAATTAGTATTATTTCAATTTGTTCTATTAATATTCAATTACATAAACATACAAGACACTACAACACGATAATAATGTATGAACAATATATATATAAATGAAATTATTTATTTTGAAACGGATTCATAAGACTTTGTAAAAAATGATCTTGTAATAAACCTTGAATAAATTCTTCTTTTGATATACATTGATCTTCATTAATATCAAGTGTTTTCATTATTGTATCAGCACATTGTTCATATGAATATTTATGTAATTGATTATCATTCATTCCTAATAACTGAAACATAGCACGTAGTATAAATAAAACTTCAGCTCTATCAATCATTGAATTATGATCTAAATCATAAACATTGAATGCATATCGAAGTTTATGTTCTAATGGTGCTTCTGTTGTAGCGACATATGCAATAAGAAACTAAATCAAAATAAAATTATATACAAATTATTACTCTATTGATAAGTTATTATTTTCAAATTAATTCAATGAATTTGTATTCGATTTCATTTTACAATTGATCAGAAAATCCTATCTATTGAATAAAAACTTCTAAGGTCATATTTTGCTAGTAAATAAATCTCGATGAGATTAGAAGATGATGTTTAAAATATTTTATTTCCATAGGCGTAAGCAACAGACATATGAATATTTTATATTTGGAACGAAAAGCATTGCTAGATAAATTGTAAGATTCAATCACGTCAAAAGATACTTATGTAATTCAAGTCGAATTCCTGGCACACCAATGATAGTTTGATACTTGAATGATCGACTATCCTTTGACTTCCATTATATTAATAGTTGTTCTCTGACTGACAATCTACCTGTCGATATACCGAAGGTAGTGCAAACAAATTTACAATATGGATAGTTTGTTTGATGACATATGTCACAAATTTAATGTAAATATATCTATCAAAACAAATCTAAGTAAATATTCAAATAGCAAGCGCGCTCGTGATGGTAAGCTTTTTTTGTTTTTAGAAAATTGTAGAATAAAAGAAAATATTCTTAACACAAAATGAGATTGGTTCTAAAATAATACAAGCCGATCGTAATAGAGGAATGTATCTATATTTTTCATATTAAATATTTTTGAAGCTTATTGCGTGATGTAGATTGATGACAAGGCTTATTATTGATTAATATAACTATTGAAAGTTCCAGATGGATAATAGGACAATAAGCCGAAAATGCATCGTATTATCATTATTCGTCCGACAGAGAATGATCAAAAATAGTTTTTCAAAAATTTTTGTTTTTTTCCCATTAAAGTTTCAATACTTTATTGTTTTTCTTTACTCACGGATTCCGCAAACAAAAAACAACACGCTCAATCCTAACAATCTCACAACATCACTGGATAATTAGTTGACAATATGTGTCCAAAACATATATATTTCTTCACCGCTTCCTCTTTTTTCATTACTCTTGAAATACACGCTGCTTTCACTTATTCAATATTGCCATGAAAGAAAAAAAACCTCGAGGCTTCTCATCTCGTTCAATTTTCTATTTCCTACCATATGGTTGCCCAGATTACTACAATTATCTTATGCCATCAGCGGGATACCAAATGAATCGAACCACAATATCAGAGAGACTAATATTCTATTTGTAAAATGATTTTATCTATGACTTTTCTAGAACTGCTGTAGGAAGTAAAGAACTAATTAACAAAAAAAAACTAATAATGTTAATGAGATACTTCATTAGATATTAGCACAAGTAAACAAACAGAATAATCTCTTTTCTAAATCATTCTTTTATGAAGAAAGATTAAATTTTTATCTACCTATAACTATTACGATCTTCTTTTTTTTTGGTATGAATATTAAAGAATAAATGAAAACAAAGAAAAAATAGTCTAGTTTATTTCTACGATTTTTAATGTCGGATGAAGTATTCCATCGAGATATGAAACATTATTAGTTTTTTTTTTTTTTTTGTTAATCAATTTTTAATATAAATGAAGAATACTTAATAATGTTTGAATATGAATTCATATTTTGTCATTCTACACATGCATATAGTATTTTCTATTCTCATTAAATTCTACTTACTAATAAAATATGAATTCAAAAGCTGTTAATCACTCAAATGATGTATAGCTGCGATAAGTTGTACTCATAAAGTCTTGTTTTTTTTTTCTCAAATAACTTCATTATTGATTGAACTTTTTCAAACTAATTTATCGCAATTGGCATGAAGAATCATTAGAAAATCAGTAATATTCAATATACTAATTCCTTGAATTTCTAATCTATGTTTAGAATATTTTCAATATTGAGAATTATTAGACTTATAGTAATTGCTTTTTTTTTTGAATCTATTCTTTGATTTTGTCGAAGTTAAAAAACAAAATAGATCTCAAAATTACTTAGAGAATTGATCGGAACAAACTAACTATTTAGCGCAATCCTTGTCAGATCAAACATGCGGAAACACAATGTAATTACTATTACTAATTACAGGAAGATTGTTTTATTTTATTCTCCAGAAATGTAATAAGTAAATAATTCATCAATTATAAAAACACATTATCGATATACCGTCTTTGATAAATTCCGACTAGCGTTTTGCCAAAGTGTATAATGAAAACGAGATGTATGTCATGCCCGTAGGGAGTAGAAATTTTTTACTCCTATAATTTAACACTTCTTTTAAATTGTATTTCACAAAGAATGCAAATTTTTTGATCATTTCTGAAATACCTTTGTATTCTATTTCATGTATCTTGACTATGACTTTCAATAGAGCAAATAACTGATCATAGTTGATAGAGGATAATTTACAAGAACTATATTTTTAATCAAGAAAAATATATATCATCTTTGACATTATGTTCTAAGAATCGATATATCCCTATTTAAAACTGTAACTATTAATCAAAGTATAAAAACAAAACATTTCTAGAATTATATTACTCAATAGTTTTTTAATTACTTTTATTTATTTTAATATCTTAATAAAAATTCAATGTATATACCTATTTATGTAAAAAGAAAAAAACATAATATTACTTGATTAAATTCAATGAATTGTGAAAGTTATTTGGGAAATCTATTAGGATATATTTTGTATGTCATTGTAAATCAGCAACTATTTATTCTGAATAAGAATAATAATGTTATTTATTAATCCACTTCAGTGATTCATTATAAAACTAGTCTATTATTAGAATAGATTATATCATTAGAGAAAATTGAGTTTCGAATTTTCTGTCTTTTTTTTTTTTTACTTTTGGGAATTGATTCTATTGAAAAGACGAAAAAGTATTTTTAATTATAATCAATAAGCCTATTCGAATAATGTTTAAAAGAAAAGACTTACTTCAGAAAAACTAATACCATGATCACCATCTAAATCAAATGCACGGAAGATATTTTCACTTAAACGTTTAACATTTTCATCTGGTCGAAGTTCTTGATAAAATTTACAAAATTGTTCTTTATTCATTGTTCTTGAACCTGGATCACATTGTTGTAAAAAACGTTGTTCCCATGCAATAATATCATCTCGTTTTAATTCAGTATATTTTGCTATTGATTCATAAACATGATCATCCAGTTTACTTCGTGTTGAACCCATTCTTTTTTTGTTTTTGTCTAAAAAGAAAATTCTGGTTATGTTAACTTAACTGATGAATAAAACACGTTACTACAAAAATTTAAAAAAAAAAAACTTTTTCACTTAGAAGACTTATCAAATGTATAGAAGTACTATTTTTGTCTCCCACTTTTCTTCTCCGAGAATGATTATTTGCATCTATGTAATGCATAGTGAGAATTGACTGGAGTTTTTCTTTTTGCTTCGTCTTTTTTGGTTTTCTCGACTCTTTTTTTCTTCCTATTGATGACAGAGAGAAAAAAAAGTTTCTCCATTCTCTTGGAAAATTTTTCATTCTGTCCTTTTTCTTCTAGTTCACTTAATAGACAAAACTAATATATTGAAGAGTTTTCTCGACCTCTACATCATACAAATATAATCCATTTGTTAATCAAAAAAAAAAAAAAGAAGAATACTAGACATGTGAAAAAGAAATGACAGAAACAATGTATTTATATAGTTAACATGACACGCATTTCGGAAACAATAATCTTTATATATAGATAAAGAAAAGTAAAGATTCCGTTAGAAAATAGTAGCCTCGAAAGAAAGAACAAAATGTAATTGTATGAACAGGTAAATCTAATATTAGGAATTATTAAAATTAACTTTTTGTGCATGTTATCGTTATTAAATGTCTAAGTCGATCTGATTCATTATATGAGCATCAATATTAAAAAGAAACTTTCTCTTATGGTCCAGATAATAAATATCGACTAATAAATCATATTCAAGAACATATTATTTTATTGAATGTTTACTTAGTTAATCAAATGAACACAAGACTTTTGCATGAAATATCAACATGATTTGTATGCATTCAGATTAAAAACAAGTACGTCATTTTTTTTTCAAAAAATAAAAAACAAAAGAGAACATTTATTAAAACATGACATTAGTGATTGTTCTCAATAAAAACAAAAATATAAAGCATGCGATAAGGGAATTGTGCAGAAAATATAAAAGTATATAGAAATATATTAATAAATCTTTATATTTTAGAGGCAGATTGTTTTGATTATAGAATTACTGATATGCTAAACACATTTTAGCCTTTGATAAAACAAAAGAATAAAAGTCAATATTATATCTATTCGAAAAAAAAAGAATTTATATATATATATATATTTTTTTTTTTGCATTAAAAGATTATTTGAAATTTAACTGAAATAACAATAATATTGTTGAAATATTTTAAATAAGATTGTCAAGAGAAAAAGAAAAATATGTTTTTTTTCCAAAGACGATTAATTATGTAAGCATTCAATTGACACTCATTGTCATATGACTTATCAAATACATTGACATTCATCATTCATAATGATTCATATGGTACCTTTTTGTTGTTGTTTTTTTCAGACAAATTGTAAGAAAGTATTATTCGGCAATGATGTGATTTAATTTGAGATCTTTCCATATGATAGCAGATACTGAACGGTGTCAATAAGGTTTAGACAGCTAGAGAATATTTCAAACTTTTTCCTTGAAATTCTAATGGTTTGAGTATAGGTGTGCAGGATTGAGTAAACGGCGTACTCTCGTACTTCATGTAGTTCTACCAAACTCCCTGAACTCTGAGAGCACATGAAGTTCAAACCAAGATGTAAACGATGTCCTCCTATCTTCCACGGAGTACAAAAAGTCTAAGAGTACAGTAGGAGTATAGTTTTATGACTACAAAAAGTGTAGACCTAAATCCAAGAAGATAACAACGTAGTCTCGTATTTCTCATACTTCCCCTATACTCTTGTACTCTGTATACTCCATGGAGTACGAGAGTACACTATTTCCTCCTTACGAGGGAAGTATCCGAAGTGATTCACTGCTTTTGAGCTCATATTTTGGGCATATAGAGGAGACCTCTAGACTAGAATAATCTTAAAACGATTCGGGTCCATAGGCCTTCTCTACAGAGTTATAGTTATTTTACTTGAATTTTAGCCTATGGCACGGTATATAAAAACAAATCGACTGGGGAGTATTTCGATTTGAAATTTCGTCCACAGATAGGCCTACTTTTAATTAGAATGCTCTGAAAATTTCAGCTCAAAAGAATGTTTCCTCCGTAAGATATTGAATTTTCAAAAATCACTCGGATCCTGTAAAAGCTACGAGAATCTCAAGTTTTATCGATATTCAATATCTTGCAAAGGAAACATTCTTTTGAGCTGAAATTTTCAGAGCATTCTAATTAAAAGTAGACCTATCTGTGGACAAAATTTCAAATCGAAATACCCCCCAGTCGATTTGTTTTTTATATACCGTGCCATAGGCTAAAATTCAAGTAAAATGGCTATAACTCTGTAGAGAACGCCTATGGACCCGACTCCTTTTAGCATTATTCTAGTCTAGAGATCTTCTCTATATGCCCAAAGCATGAGCTCAAAAGCGGTGAATCACTTCGGGTACTTCTCTCGTTAGTTTTTTTTTTCATTATTGATTAATGTAGCCAGTGTGTCATAATAAATGGCTGATTTTTTTAATATCTAGTACGTTGATTTTAAAACCAAAATATATTAAAAGATGTAGCATGAAACAACTTTCGCATGGTCGAAATTTGATCGTTCAAAGTCTTGTCCATTTTGAAAACAAAAAAGTGCAACTATAAAATAAACGATCTTATGTAAAATGTAGAGCTTTTCACGTTGCATCTCTTAGTATATTTTAGTTTTAAAATAGATAATAAGAAAAAGAAATACAAAAAATCGACCATTTATTATGAGACGCCCGTTATATGTTTCATCTTCGTACATGAAATAGAATTTTTCAAATTGTTGAACAAGTATTTTTATATCAATTTTTGTTATGTCAATAAATCAATACTTGCTACTGCATCAGATATGTTTGTTTTTGTGTACTCAAAAAGTGAGTACACTCTAGAATCGGTCAGTATGTCCGGCTGGCCGTTAACACGATAACTTTTGAAAGGAGAGTCCAATCGCGATGAGATTTTCTACACAGTTCAGTCTTAACAATGTCTCGGTCGAGTTCGAAGATGAGAAGAATTGGCTGAATCATTCCTGAGTTATTGCAAAAATACTCATTTTTTCCTATGGCTTCCTATGCGAAAATCGACCCATCCTCGCTTTCGTAAAAAACTTTTCCTATCATACTCAAAATAAAACCCCAACTATTATATACCATTCGATAGAGAATTTCACGAGCTACGAAATGGTACATAAAACATAAGGAAACAAGAAAGTTAACTTACCTATTGCAAAGATAATTAAACGGAATTCGGTTCTCTGTTTGTCCACGCTCTAATTAATCCATAAATAGAGCTCTATCTTCCGATCACAGAGATGATAGTTCAAGGTTTTCTGGGATAGAGAACTCGAATCTGTGTTCCATTCGTCTCGAAATTCCATTGGTTGAGCAGTGATCAATAGAAATCAAGTTATAGGAAAAACGAGTTTCTTAGGGTAAATCAAGGTGAATAGTTCAAATCTGAGCTGTATCTGCCTCCAAATCCTATTGGTTGAGCAGTAGCCAATAGAAATCAAGTGTTTATAGAAAAGATTTGCCAGGACAATGTTGATGTCGACACATTCTAGAATGACTCCTCTGTCTCATTCACTTTTTGAAGTACATATAACTCTCGGATTTAAATCCGAGGTTTCCGCATTTATTATTTTTATTTAGAACTGATGTTTAGAAATGAAAAAAGACACCTTTCTTTCAACAAAATCGGAGATCCTAACAAGCTTCATTCACCATTTTCATCACGACAAGAATGAAGATTCACAATATCTGATGTATATACATCGATCATACATACTCGTCTTTGTACAATATATATTATGATATTCTTCGAAATTCTTTTGCAATAATTTGTGTTCAATAAATTATTTACTCTCAACACTCAAACACCTCTGATTGTCAGCCAATGGTGGATCTTTGGGAGTCATCAAATGTAAATTTAGTTACTGGTGAGAAATCGAAATAGAAAGTTGCCAAAACGTGAGCGTGTTGCTTGTAGAGATGCTGTATATATCAATATACAATGATATATAACTAAGGATCCGTGTAGACTACCATTTTAGTCTGAAAGTAATAGTCTTTTTTTTAAAATTCAGATTGAAATAAAATAGGCCATTATATGCGTATTCATGGTGTTTCATGAAACAGTTATAAAATGTGAGAATTGTGTTCGCGATACGCATAATTGAGTATTCATTAACTATTGGATACTTGTACTCTACTCAGAGTTCGAATACTTTATTTAAAATTATTATTCTAAATCAAATAAAATATGAACAAAGGGATATTCATGAGTCAGAACATTATCATTCACTGTTAAAAATAGACAACCGAATAAAAGATAGCTTTTTCAATGAGACACATGCTTTGGTATTTTCAATAAATGGAAATCTGCTAGGTTTCATCTATGTAGGATTTTCTTTGATTTTCAAATCTAAGGAAATTCATACTTAAGATTATTGTAATTTATATGATTGAATAATAACTTTCATGTTTATTTATCACATTTCTTAAATACACACGTCATAAAATTTACATAAACAATCTACACTAACTGATTCTAGATGAAAACTTTTTATAGTCAATCAACGTTGGAAATGCTTCCAGATGAAATTTTGCTGAAAGTATGCAAATATTTATTGTGTGCTGATATTCTTCAGTCATTTATGGGACTAAATTATCGAATAACAGACATGGTCGCTCAATATCGTCATCATGTTTCATTTTATAAAGCATCTATTTTAACATCTGATTATTTATATATAAATGTTCTTCCTCAAATTGGTTTTCATGTTCGATCATTAGTTATTCATCGTAATTATTCTTGTTTACAAGATGAATTATTTATCGAACATTTTGGAAAGAAAATGTCGATGATATTTCCTAAATTAGAAAGAATTAGTCTTACTTATTATGAGCATGATACATTACTTATTTTTCTTGATACTTTACATGATTTGAATCATTTGAATGAGATCCGTTTATATGATTTCTTTGATAATCCAACTTCGAATCAAACAATAACCGTTCGATCACTATGTCAAGCAAATAATCATCGGTTTACGACGATACTAGTAGATGACCGATCGAGCTGTTTGCATTTCGATGATAATGATCGATACTTAAATGTTCTTCGACTGCGTATCAATTTGACAAGTGTCATTGATTTACCGGCTCTTTTTGCAACTGTTCCCAATGTTCACTATTTAGATGTAGTAATCAGTGAAGAAAGTGATTATTCTAAATTGTTGAATGAAATGAAATTTACTCCTCTTCTTCATCTCATCGAATTTCAATTAAAATCACTTAAGCACGGTTGGGGATTAGAAGAATTATCTGTATTACTTGTCCAACTACCAATCGTACAAAATCTGTTACTTTCTCTCGCCACTTTTGATAATCGACTTGTCGAAGATAATATCGTTCTTTCCATACTTCCTTCTACTGTTCAACAATTTAACTACGTCATTCGCTACTTCTATGATTCTGAATTTGATGGAATTGATGAGATTATTACTTCTTGGTCACCATCAAATCCAATAACCTGGTGCTTAAACGATAAATCCTTGTTTCTTCATAGTTTACCTTGGCGCTTTCGTCACATAGAATTTACTTTGTCACACAGTAAAATGGTGTCATGCTCTCCAAATACTGCAACTGTTTATGAGAGGAACGTAGAACAAGTCAATATTTGGGTTGATAAAAATTATACTTTGACAAGATCTTTGTCAACAATATTGCAATGTCGTCAAGCAAGAATAATTACCATTTATGTGGTAGATGAGGATGAGACTATGAAAGGTATGTATGTCTAACAAAAACAACGCGAATATACACATGACTAGAAAAATGAATCAAACCTTTAGCAGAAAACATAAAAAAATCATCATTTTAGGCATCAGAGCATTTGAAAAATTGCGATGCGGCATAGATCGACCGAAAGGAAAAATGTCTAATGGACTAACATCCAAGTGGACAAAATAAAGAAAACGTCGAAACGAAAAAATTTCGAAAAAAAGAAATGTATTAATTTGATGTAATCGATGCTTGCTTCTCATGTAACGGAGATGAAAGAACTGAAGTCATGATAATATTTGTTTTCGAAATTTTTCCTTTCCGTCGCACTACAGCCAAACAAAACTTCTAACTCGAAGAAGAAAAGCAAAAATCATCTTTATTAATAGCTTTAACATCTCACAACGGCTACTTGTAGTAGGTATTTTAGAAAATCATATTCAACATACCAATGCGAATGTTTTTTTTTAATTCTTCATATTTTATCATAGCTTAAGATTAGCACTGCTTGTGAAATTCATATATTATTCTAACAAAATCATTTGATTATTTTCAGAAGAACAACAACAACTTCCAGTGTCTCACCTTCCGAGGTTATCTCGATTGGTTCAAGTCTTTTTGTTTCAATCAATACCATCTGATCTCCATCTTTTCTCATTTATTCTTAATGTTGCACCTAATCTTTTTCGTTTGGATTTACCTTTTGACTGCTTATGGAAATTAGTTGAAGATCAACAAACACAAAATCTCCTTGGTCAACGCATTACTTCACTTAATATCTACAAAAATGCAACAGAAAGATCACTAATAACAGTTAATGAAGAACACATACCTATCATAGCTTCTGTATTTCCTCGAGTTCGTGATTTGTATGTTGATGTGATACATTTAGCAAGTAGTACAACAATGATCTCGAACAGAAATACTCTAGAACATACTGTAGTAGAAAACTTATCCGTGGAATCAACTCAACAGAAACATGAAGTTGTTTCACCATTATCAAATGAATCGATGCTGTTATGTCTGTTCAAACAGTTCAAACAACATAAACTCACTAGTTTATATATTGATGGACATTTTCATGAAGAGATTAAAACAAATACAGAACAATGGTTACGAAATAATACTATTCTTTATGAACAACAATTCAAAGTTGTTTATTCTAGTGAATGGAATCGAATACTAATTTGGATGTGACATTACTTGTATTATGCTTTTAAACAAGAAATATTCTTTTTTTCATTTTAAAATCATCAAAATATGCTATTTTAGGAACATAATAAATCGACTTCTTTTTCATATTCGCTAGAAATCTTGTGTTTGTTTTCCATTTACGTGTACATATAAAGAAAACATTGGCAATCTCACATAAAACAAAGACAAATTTTAGAGTCCATAATATTTTTACTGTGTATAATGAAATGTAAAAAGTTCTCTGGTAATGACAAGGGTGTGGGTGTGGATGTGAGGTGTGGGTGTGGGTGGGTGTGGTGTGGGGTGGGGTGTGGGTGTTGGGTGCGGCGTGGGTGTGGGGTGGGGTGTGGATGGGTGTGGGTGTGGGTGGGTGTGGGTGGGTGTGGTGTGGGGTGGGGTGTGGGTGGGTGTTGGGTGGGGCGTGGGTGTGGGGTGGGGTGTGTATGGGTGTGGGTATGAGAGAAGGGAAGAAGCCCACACCCACACCCACACCTACACCCCACACCCACACACCCACACCTACACC